TTTTAAGTAAAAAAAATTGAAAAAATTTCGAAAATTAGCGATTTTTAAATTTGTAATTTTTTTGGAGGTTTCCCCCTTTTACGGGGAACGAGGGAATTTTTTTCAATTTTTAAGGGTAATGTCTTCGACTAGATACGATTTGTGATCTTTTGACGTATCATTGAAAGAAATCGGTTCGGTGAGAGCTGAGAAAAAGTGGTAACAGACACAAAAAAAAAAAAAAACACATCTTAGTAAAACCAATACCTTCTCAGCTTCGCATCGAAGCTAAAATATAACGAGGAAATAAAAACTACTATAGACTAAAGACTAATGACAATATTTTAAATTTTGACAACATGATATCACAATTTACTATAGAGTTTCAACCTAAGTTTTAATCAATTTTAAATTTTAATATAAAATTATATATAATTCAAATTTTTAGATAAAAATATCGATATTAAAAATTGTAAAGACATAAAAGGTAAGTAAATTAATAATGTTTTGTTGATACAGAATTCCTAACTTGTGTTTTATTTGGATGAATAGTGGTAAATGAGTTTAAATACCTAATTTTTTTAAATTTTACACTCAAAAATATAATGAGAAAATAAAAACTACTATAGACTAAAGAATATTTTAAATTTTGACAAAATGTTATCTCAATTTACTATAGAGTTTCAACCTAAGTTTTAAACAATTTTAAATTGTAATATTAAATTACATATAATTTAATTTTTTTAGAATATAATATGGATTATATGTGTAATATTGACATAAACGGTAAGTAAATTAGTAATGTTTTGTTGATTTCCGAACTTTTGTTTTATTTGGATGAATAGAGTTAAATGCGTTTAAATACCTAATTTTTTACTATTTTACCCTATAAGTATAGTGTGGAACTATATACATCAATAATTATATAGAACTAAGCACATTACACTATGGTGAAAAAGAGATTTTTATCATAAATCTCGATATAACGACTATGTCCACATTTCTAATAATTAAAACTAATTAACTATCTAAAATAACCATATTGATCCTTTTTAATTACAATTATTATTAAAAAGGATCAATAGGATTACTTAATTAATTAATATATTATAATATATTAATTAATTGATTTGATTTGTAGTGGAATTTTTTAATGATGCGGTAAAAAAAAGAAATGATATTATGAAAAGAATGTTCAATGATTACTTGCATATTATAAACAGTAAGAGTTTTTAATTTTTAGAAATAATTAATATTATTCATAATATTTATATATCAATTTACTTTGTGCAGTATAATCAATGATCGCCTTTTTTAATTTTGATTTTTATGACAAATAAATATATTATTTTATATAATAGATCACTTTTTCAATGTAAATTGAATATATTTTTTAATGTACATAATTATAATTATAAAATAAAAAAAGAGATTATATAATAAAAATTGAACACTAGTAGATAATTTGTAATTCAAAATATTGATTTAAAACTAAAAATTATTTAACTCAAAAAGTAAAGATTTCTGACGGCCACCTAATCCCATCAATTAAAACCATACCCTTCTCCAAGGATTGATGGGGAAAAACATACATATAATATTTACATAATTAATCTGCTTTTATAAATATTATTAGATAGTTAGAAAAAAATATCAAAATTTATAGATTTCAAAAATCGGGATGATTTGGTGAATTTCTTCATTTACTGGGGAAGAGGGAAATTTGTTTAAATTTTAAGGGCAATGTCTTAAACTAGGTATGATTTGTGGACTTTTGATTTATTATTGAAAAAAATCGGTTTAGTGAGAGATGAGAAAATTTTGACATACACATAAAATTAAATTTTTAACATATTATAATAATATTAATACTGCTTTGTATCAAAGCTAAAAAAAAATTTTATTTGTATAAAAATAAAATTGACTAAATTGTGTTTTATAAACGTGGCTAATCTATTATAATATCATATTTTTCTTTATTACTATAAACTAAGTTCAAATTTCAAATTAAAAAAAATTTATCATAACATTTCTTTGTATAATTGATTCTTAGAATCGATTTGAAGAAAAGTTAAAGTGCTAATAGTTACGTAAAAATATTCAAAACATTATTTTTAGATGAATAAAATCTTTATTCGTTACGTTACGGTAGTAGACAATTTTAGTGTTAAAATTTAAAAGAATACCTAATAAATAGTTAAAAATAAATTTATTGAATTTATTTAAAAATGTTCATATAAATTGTTTCACCGAGAGGTTATTGTATGACTAAACACTATTTCTTCATAATTTTATTTTATTTCAGAAAAACAATTGTGTAATAATGAAAAAGAAATAAGCAAAGTTTGTGATCTAATTAAAGCATTAGAAAATAATCATCCAAATAATTTAAAGAATTCTAAACATAAAGATGATATTATATCAAACAGTTCAGCCCTTTGCGATTGAGATAAGATTAAAAAATAATTTTTAATATAATATACGTTGTTTAAACATTGTATATGTTATTTTTTTTTTTTGCTAATAACACAGGTCTATGAGAAAATTTTTTGTTGTCTATTATGCATAAATGAATTTTGAATGAAATATTGTGTTTACTTATTAAATTATACTTCTTCAATAAACAATGTAATGATAAAAAATGCACATAGTTATAAATTAGAATTTTACATATACACAAGTTTAATTAATTGAAAATACAACGCAATGTCCAACAAACAACCACGACTTTTAAGCTAAACAATTAGCAAACAAAAATTAATGCAAAGTCAATATAAGCAACCATAATGCTAAATACAAATATTAAATTGCTTACTGCAACCTGCATGGCTCCCTATATTATTATAATTTAATACTTAGTACGTATATCAGTTTTTTAAAAAAGTAATTTTTTGTTTATAACAGCTACACGTCATTTTTTTAATTACTTATATCGTCTAAATTCATTCTACATCATATAATTGCGTACTTTATTCCTTAAAACTTCACATAACAAAAAAGAAATAGAAATAAGGCAAGTACAAATATTTCGTTCAACTGTTCACTCCTCTCCTTTTTTGTTTAAAAACTCATTTATATTCTCTCCTTTCTTTTAGCTTCTATGCGAAGCTGAGAAGATATAAGTTTTACTACGATGTGTTTTTTTTTTGTGAATGCTATTTTTGTGTAAAAATTCTCGATTTTATATTTTACATTTTTAACATTATATTTATATAACTTTTTGAAAAATGTATGGCTCAATACAATTTTTTTATGAGTAATATTATTTATATACATCTTTTATTTGACATACTTTTTTTTTAAATCGGACTATTTTCCTTTATGCAGGGGGGGTCAAAATATTAAAAATGCATATAGATAATAGAACTTTTTCAACTAAATGTTAGGAAATGTTCCGAAAATACTGACACGTTAATATATATCTTAAACTAAATCTTATGTAATATATTTTAATATGAAAAAAAAAAATCTTACTTTATTTTGTTTTAATGGTGAAAACGAACATCAAAGTTAAAAAAAAATACGATTTTTGTAAAAAAATTCGTTTTTATATTTTAACTTAATAAAGCTATAATTTTTGAAAAATGTATAGATCATTATATTTTTTAAGGTAAGTACTATATTTATATTTATTTAATTATTTCTTCATATTTTACACTTATAAATCATAAAACTTGTAATCAGAATATAAATATTAAAATAGGAGATCATGTAGCTTTGGTATAATCCATTTATTTTTTAAAATTAAACGTTATCTACAGATTTGCATCAAATCATTTTTTATGAAAGTGATTAAAATCACTGTTAGATATCATCTATATTGGACCCAGTTATGCCACGTCCCCAATGTGCCGCGACCCTTCTGTGTTTTGAATACATGACCTTTTGAATACAATTATTTAATTTTTTTTTAAATTATTTAGAATTATTAAATTATTAGAACAGTTGAGTTCTAGCATAGTATAGATTGAAAATGTTCAATAACTCAGATCGCTATTATAAAACGCTTCAATACATTAATGTGTAAAGAAAAAACTAAAAATTATATTTAAAAAATATTGCATTCGGTTCTCATAGGTCATTAAATTTCACTTTGCAGGATATCTCGAATTTACTTGACTTTTTAAACTTGTTCGATGTTGGTTAAACTAATATTGATATATGTCAAAGTTATGGTTCAGTTTTTTCATTAAAATACATCACCTACATGTAGGGACTTCATTATAGGTTGATAAATAACAAAATAAAGAATATACGTTATCTTATTCTATTATTAACAATATTTATGACTATTTTGAGTACAAATATCATGGACACAATAATCCATCTAATATGTTTTGAATATGTTTATCATGGTGTAGTTTTGCTTATTGCTTTATCATAAAATGACAGAAATATTAATTAAAGGTGAGCATGCGTAGTATATTACCATTCATAACACCCCTATGATATATAGTTTCATCATAACATGTTCTGTAAAAATTTACGAAATATGATGAAATAATTTTTTGAACATAATTAAATTATAAGCACTTTTGAACTCGCACATTTATAAAATATCTAGATAAATATCTAAATTCAAAAAATTTATCTTTGATGATTGTTAGATAACCAATTAAAAAAACATAGTTAAGAAAAAAAATAAAAAAGATAATTTTATTTTTATCAAGATAAAAATACAAAAATTTATTTAGATTTTGATAATAATTTTTTTACCATGACTTATGGTTGAATTAATACTCTCAACTATGCATATATGCTTAAATTACATTAAATTAATTTATTTATTTAATGAGAAATATTTATTTAAAAGTAAAAACACAGGTATTTAATTATTAATTTTGTATTAATATATATATNTTATTTAAAAGTAAAAACACAGGTATTTAATTATTAATTTTGTATTAATATATATATTTTTGGTATTTCGATTAATACATAAAACAAAATGGTACTTAAAATTTTTAAAAATTAAATTTTTAGAAATTTTTTTCTAAAAATAATGACATTGTCCAAAGATGCTATTTGAATTCCAGCCGGCTTGAATATGTTATCATCTATCTAAAAACTGTTGGGAAATTTCCAAACAGATCTTTATCTATAGGATCAATATTTTTTTAATTTTATCTAGAGATAACACACTGATTATCAATACAACGGGGTTGGTAATCAAAAAATAGTACTGAATCATCAGTAGATTCTACTAACGCAATTAATTGACAAATCGTATTCACTTTTCCATTACACATACAATCAGAACTTTTTTCTAAAACCATAAAATTTATTAATTAGAATATTTCAAATTATATTTATGAATTCAAGTTTTGTGCTGTGTTTCGGTAATTGTCGCTCCAAAAGTGAACTTTGCAATGAGTTCGAAACGTCAGCACATTACTGAAGACATATTTATAAACATTTTATATAATAGAATAATCTATGACATATTAACATTAACACATTCACTCAAAATTAATATTAAAAAAAAAAAAATTATATTTTAATTTAAGTTATTGAAAGATTAGTCGAGGTACATTATATGTAGTGTATTTAATTCGAAAATCTTTTTAATTTCTTTTTAGGTTTTTTAATTTAGAATTTTTTATATATATATTTTTAGTCTAGGTAAGGTAATGTACTCATAAATTATAGGATTATTTATACTATTTCATTTGGACAAAACTCTCCATCCTTATTTTACTAATTTATTTGGAGGTTATTTAGTATACTTTAAATTTTTTTTTACTCATTGACCAGGTTTGATAGTACTCTTCAATAAAACAATTCGTCAAAGAAAATATGTTTTTAGTATTCTAATAAGTTTTATTATAACGCAACGGTACAAAAATTATCAAAAATTAGATAAATATTTGTTTCATGATATACTTCCGTTCAAAAACTTCTTAGTCTTATGATACTTAAAAAAAAATATTATAAATAAATAAACTATATTTAAAATAAAATAATTCAATTTATATTATCCATTTATTTTTGGATAATTGCACAATTTTAGTTCAAAAAATTCTACTGAATGTGTTACTAAGTCTAATTGTTTTAGCTATAACTTATGCTATAACTTTTTGAAAAAGGTATGGATCAATACAAATTTTTCATGAGAAGTAGTATTTATATACCTCTTTCATTCGATATACTTTTTTTTAAATCGGATCATTTTCCTTAAAATATTATTTTTTGAAAAATTTTGCATCAAGACCTTTAATTTTTATACAAGTGTGCCATAGAAGTAACGAAGTATTCAACTACTTTATTTTTTATTTTTTGTAAAAATTACAATATTAAATTATTGAACATAAATTTCATACTTATAAATCAAAAAAGGGACGTTCAAAACTTAAAAACGCATATAAAAAGTGAAACTTTTTCAACTTTACTTTTGAAAATGTTCCTGAAATACTGCGTCCTTTAAGCATATGTTAAATTAAAGCTTATGTTACGTAGTATAAATTTAAAAAAAATATATGTCCCAACGACTTATAAATATTTTTCAACCCCTGAAATACCAATATTTATTCATCTCAAAATTTTATCTCTTTTACACATTTATTAATCTCCAGCTATTCAATTACTCTCTTGCTATTTTTGATATTAAACTGTTATACCCCTTTTTTATTTTACTATTATTGATTTCATTAACTTAACCTCCTCTTTTTGGTTTATTACATACCCCAAACGTCAAAGACACATGTGTTACCAACACGGAAATCGTACATGGTCTATGTGGGAACATAATATAACAATTTAAACTAGTTCAAAATTTCAAAGTTATTTGTTTCGACTCAAAAACAGAAAATCAGTATTTTTAGTACTATACTTTATGGAAAACAGCAGAATCCCTCCCAATTTTTATTGTATACTGCGGTTTGTCTTGAAAACATTCTTTCAGATGAAATATATGATATAGTTATAAGGGTTCTTAATTCTTTTGTAACGTATTTTAAAATAACAATACAAAACCCAAAATTTTAAAACAAAAATAACACATTTTAGCTTCGATGCGAAGCTGAGAAGGTATTAATTTTACTATGATGTGTTTTTTTTTTATTTTATTTTTGTTTTTTGTCTGTGAACGCTCAATCTCAGCTCTCCCTGGATCGATTTTGATGAACAATATATCAAAAGATCACAAATCGTATCTAGTCAAAGACATTATTAATTGAAGAAAAGTTCAGGTTTTTTATTAAAATTTCAAACCCTCAAATACCTAAACTAAATGCCAAAAATACATAAGCCATGAAATAATATGAGACCTATTGTGTCGAATATTAATGCTCCGACTTACAATTTGGCTAAACACCTAGAAAAGAGTATTTTCATCTTTTAAAAAATTCGATAGTTTTTCAGTTAAAAATAATATTGACTTAGTTAAACAATTATCTGGTTATACCATTCAAAATAATGACAGGTTAATTTCTTTTGACGTAGTAGCATTATTTCCGAATATTCCAATAAATATAACAATTGAATTTCTTCATGACTGTTTAAAGGAACAAAACATTGAACAGGATAAAATAAATGAGCTTATTAATTTAACAAAGTTATGTATGAGTCAAAATGTTTTTTAGTTTCAAAATAAATTTTATGAGCAAACTGAAGGCACAGCAATGGAAAATCCGCTACCACCATTTTTAGCAGAACTTTTCATGAGTAGATTTGAAACAAATTTAAAACACACTTATGGTGATTTTCCAAAAATTTGGGTTAGTTATGTAGATGATATTTTTGCAGTTATAAATAAAGATTTTAATATGGAGGTTTTCATACAACATTTAAATTCTTTTACCCATCGATTAAATTCACATATGAACAAGAAGTAGAGGGAAAATTGNTTCACATATGAACAAGAAGTAGAGGCAAAATTGCCTTTTTTGGATTTATTAGTTAAAAGAATAGAGGGGAACTAAATTTTGAAATTTATCGGAAAAACACGCACACGTTCAGATATATTCCGAACACATCGAACCACACCTGGAACACAAATTGTCAGCTTTTAATAGTATGGTTTACAGATTAATTAATATTCCGATGAATAAAATAGATTTTGATAAAGAATTGGTGGTTATAAAAGAAATACCTAGATTTAATGGGTATAACGAAAACAAATTTCAAAATTAGTCCGAACACAAAAGTGGAAAAAAGAAAGAGGGCAGCTAGTATACTCATCAGCGTGGAGGAACAAAAAGTAATTAGATCACCAATTTTATATTATCCGGGGATCTCAAATGGACTAACTAGAATATTTAAGAATTTTGGTATTACTTTGATAACATCTAAGAGTTATAATTTAAGAGATTTATTTGGTAACCCTAAAGATAAGGTAGATGAAGGGGGGAAATCAGCCGTTTATAAAATACAATGTGAAAGTTGTAATAAATGTTACGTAGGACAAA